CTAGGTCTCTTATGAATTGAGTTATGATTTTTCTCAATTTTTCGGGCAGTTGAATCATTTTAGCTTTTGGCTTGAAACTCGAGGTAGATCAGAGCTGTTGCTAAAGCGAAATCGCCATCTTGTAGAGCTTGCTTTGCTCTATCGAACAGTACTTTGAAGCCTACTTAAGAATGAAAAGTGTGTGACTTATTGCGGTTGAAATTCAAAACGGACATTAATTTCCGGACAACCTAATACAACAAGAATCTAAAATGTGTCGAGAAGTTCTTTTCTTTTCATAATGTAATCTTTAGAACCTATACTTGTAGCTTTCTTATTCCTTTGCATCCATGAATGGCTTTGGACTCCTTCAATTTAAATAATTCTTCAAAGTGCAATCACGCTGCTCTTCACTTCTCTTTTTTGTAGCTATTATATTTGAATTTTTTTTCTAATTTGTCATAACTCAGTGCCACGACTAAAATTTCATTCATCAGATGATAAAATAGAAAGTACATTCTTCCTCTTCAAAAAAAAATAAATGAGGAGGAAAATCAGTATCTTAGTTTGTATCACTCGAGGCGCGACATCAAGCAAACTTCTTCATCATCAATGTTTTGAAGATATTTTGTCAAGCATAATAGATCTTGCCAGATTGCCTTTCGTGGATTCTGCAAACAATATCGTCTTTTTCTGATACAAATCGAGGCAAAAAGTTAGATTCAACAAGATAAGTTTTTTTCTGTGATCTAAGTGCTTGGTTGAACTCATTGCAATGTCTATTAGCAACTTAATGATGACGTCACGACAATTCCTCTAATTGCCATATTTGAATCATCTCACTCCAGCCACGACTATTACACAAAATTATGTCGCAGGTGGTTGTTGCGGGATATGAGTTGGCCGTTCGAAGTTCTAAGCCAATTAAGCCGAGCTCTTGCGCAACTGGTCTATCTGGCGAGTACAGACGCTTTCTTAGCACCTTTTAGGCAAGATCCTGCTTTCTGTTATTGCTGTAATCATCTAGACAATGTTTTTCTTCGAAAAAAGTCAATTATTTAACACAGCATCCCGCAATATCGAAAATTTCTATTTTTTTCTGGATGTTTACAATCATACCTTTGAAGTTATTGTCCAAAAGCTCATATCCTTTTACATGATTTCTCAATTCCAATAATCCCAAGTTCTTTTCTGACTTTTAACATTCGTGCTAGTCAACTTTCTGCTCTGAACGTAAACTCTCTGCATTTCTCAGAAAATTTTAGTAAGGTGAAAGAACCACCTGAATAGTAAAACATAACCACTTCATTTCTGATAGCCACGGTCATGAACTATTATAGTTCTATCCCAGATTAACTTCTCACTAATTCCTACTAATTACTAATGATTAGGTCATATTTACACCTCTCACTAATCCAACATTTCTCCTTATTGTGCTGAGGTCATTCACGTATGATTCCTTAGGCTATTTTCCTTCCTGGTTTACGGAAGCAGATACGATCTTGTCGTGATTACTGGATAACTAGTCATGGCCTTTTTTAGCCTAATATGTCGCTGAAGCAAAGACTAAAACAGATAAATTTGCTGTCAATAACAATATCAGTAAAGACACAAATTACGACGTTTCAAGCGTTTATACAAAAGAAAACCGAAAGTAGTTTATTTCTTTCCGATTCTGCTACAACATAAAATTGGACCCTATTAATCCACCAGTGATTCATCTTGAATTGCCACATGAGTCTATGGGTTGCAAATAATGCCTTAGTTGAAAGTATGCCAAGAAAAGAGGAGACTTGGCTCATCAATAGATCATTCTCGTGTATTCACTGTTTCATGTTCAATGCCCAAATTTCAGAAGGTTACCATTTGGCTAAGTATAAGTAGTTTAAAACATCTGTCAGTCTCTTCTTACGGAAACGGGGCTTATAAATTGTTTAGAGGTTCTCGCATTAGCCCCTAATCACTATATGCGCGAAGTATTGTAACACGTAATTAGCGCTTATCATTGTTAAAATTATTCGATTAGTGTGTTTGGCCACCGTAAGAAAATCTAGCAAATGTGGAATTATCGGTAAGCCTGCGATCCCTCGATTTATTCACAAAGATGTTTAAAGTTAGCATTTCCAGCAATCCTTTCACTGGAATTAGCTTAGAAGTTTTTAAGAGTACATCAAAATAGATATTACGCTAGCGTTCTTATTCATGGTCTTACTTCTAATAGAAATCTCTTGCAAGTCTGAGCAGTTCAGACATAGAGATTGACGGAAGTTGAAGGGTGGACTCTGAAGGAAGAGTTGTTCGGCAGAAAAATGAATGATTTTTCATTGAAAAGGTTTTGTCAAGAAGACAATTCTCTCTATCGTATCCAGGTAGGTATTGAACATTAGATATTTATTTTATTTTATTTTATTTATTTTACACGAAAAGTGTGCCAAAAATTCACAAAAAAAATTCACAAAACAACTCTTGAAACATGAAGACATATTGAACTTTCAATGATTCTAAGAATATAGTATATTTCCAGTGAGCTGCTAAAAAAGGTTAGATAGATTGCGTTCCTCTCCTAGAGATTCCGAGCTGATTTTCCATGGTCTTGAAGGTGGAAAATCCTAAAAATTTGGCTTGGATCTGAGGTAACTTCCGTAGATTTTTGAAATAACCCACCATCAACAAACATGATGTCTCGAAACCGATAGTTCGGAAAACGCTTCGTGCCATTTTCGATGGCTATATAGGACTGGGGTTCGAAGCATAGAGTTTGATAGCAGGAGTCGAGGCTTTTAATTTTGCTCGTGAGATTAGTTCAGTTATCTTCGAGCCTCTTTGCAGTGCCCCTATCCCTGACTGTTCAAAAACTTCGATTCCGTAAGTGTGCCCGCATGTTGCGCGCATATTAACTCGATCGGCGCTCGGCGCCTTACATCGAACATTCGTCGTCGTCGCTGTCGTCGTCGATTCCACTTAAGATAGCGACGGTTGACTCATGGAGCAGCCGGAGATCAGCGCGTAACTCTCTTTATTGAGGACGTCGGTCGCGTCATCGACCTCGTCAGCTCTATGCGAATTCTACTTCGCGTAACGACGTCGACGATTCTATCTAATGGGAATTTTCATCGGTTCCTGCAGATTTTAACACAACTTCTGCCTCTGATCGGTCAACTCCGATGAAAAGGCCTCACTCGAGTGGTTACCGATCTTTATTTTGTAATCGAGCACTTTTCTGAGAATCACTAGGGGTGTTGACGACTGTCGCCTGACAGTTCAGACGCAGCCGCCACGTCCGGCGGTGCCAGCGCGGGCGATGCGGCACCGAGCCGCAAAGCCGGCAAGAGTATAGCCGACGGTGACACTCACGAGCGCATATCATGGCAGTAGGTGAGAGTAATGATGATGGATCACTAGTTTTGTCAAATTCGGGGCTACAGGTCCATTCAGTCATTTTGTAAAAGGTCTTGGTTGCTGCTCCACTCACCGCTCCAATGAAGGTTCCAGGATTTTCAACTTCTTTTACTCTTTCCTCTTCCTCATTCCCTATCTAGATTCTTTACATCGTATAAGCTACAAAGATTCATACTACGGTAACATACTATCAGTTGGGAGCATATAATACAACATCAAGACTCTTAACACCATGTTTTTTAATCACTTCGGAAATCCCCAACCTTTTGATAGCTTCTTGACTTCATTGTCGATTTTCACCATTAATTGCGTACTTTCCTTTGAGCACAAAAGGAAATTCCTAGTGGTTAGCCAATAGTTACACAAGAACTTACCACTCACGCATTTTGCAGAAGGAGTCATCGTTTATTTATTTTCTCTGATGAAGGTCGAAAACGTCCGGACTGCAATGATTTCCTCACAACGCTGTCAATAGTGACACCAGGCTACAGTTATCATAAACGGACCAGCTGCGATTATTGTTTCTCACTACCGTCTAATTTCATGTGATTTTTGACCAAGCACCCTTCATTTTGAATTTGGCTTTTTCTCAACTAATTGTTCATAGCGCCTTTTACTCATTGTCGATTATATCTCTCAAACCAAATCAGAACAAAAATTCCAAGTTGGATCTCCTAAATGCATGGGCAAAGCTACACTTATTAGAAAAAGTACGGAATCATGCAAACTTGAAACGTTCACTTTACTCCAACGTTCACTTCACTCCTAACTTATTTTTAGCAAGATGTTAACCATTTCCGCTTGCCTTATCCTCTCTCCTAGCTATGTGACTAGATTTTTTTACATACTCTGCTTTTCAGTTCCATCTGTTGATGTTAGATAATTTTTCGTATTCATTGCCTTTCGACCTTAAACCTCAAAGGTTTTGAATTGTATTATCGCTTAAAGTTTTGGAAAATAGAAAAATGAATGACATATAGTTGTAAAACAAAATGGATTATTTTGTCCCCTTAAAACGCGATGATAGATTTCATTGCGCCCTTTACATTTCCATCATGAACTAATAAGTGATTCAATTTTAGGAAAAAATCCCTCACCGTATTCCTTTTGAGAAAGATGAGGTTTTATAGACGATAGCTTTTAGCATTGTACCACACCCCTTTATAATTATGTTCTTCTCAACTCTCCATTACCAGCTGCTCTTTTTTAGCAAACCCCTTTCGCGGAGCAGAGGGCGGGGTGCGCGGTAGAAATCGCGGACCGGGGTGGTGGTTAGGGTGGGTGTGGGCGGGCTCGGGCGCTTTCTATTCAGCTACTTCGTGTCGCGTTCATTCCGATTATGGTCACACAACACAGCCATTCAGCCAGATTTTCCAAACTTTCACGTTACCGTATACCCTTCACTTCACAAGGGGTGCATTGATCTACTGGTAGATCACATACAGTATATGCTGCATTACCGTACCTGCGCAAGTGTTCATTGGTCCATTCGTAGATCATTACAGTAAAACTTTATGTTTAGGATCCAGCTGTGATTTGTATCTTTTGCTGATATTACTGGGTAGGGCAGAAGGAAAACCACCATGTCTTTCTATTTGTTTGTAACATGTGCAATATTATCGATGATCTATGAGTTGGTAAGCAGGATATTTCCAAAATTTTCAATTTTTTCTCAGTTTCCCCAAGTTTTTTCCCAATTTTTCTTTCCAGGCAACCGCATCCGGCTCTCTCGAAGTCCGTTTAATTAGTTCCCGTACCTGCAGTGTCAAACTATGTGTCAAGAAACCCCGAGCAAGACCCTTGGACAGCTGTCTTCTCGAATCACAACTGATCCACCTTCATTCACAACAGCAACGAGTTGTCTCCACACCGTTTCACTTTCCATTCCCGGTACGAATTCCGAATTCTCAAATGTTTTCCTCTGATCGGTCATGTTCCCATCAAAGCTATTGTCTTTACGAGGCAAAGGCTCTGGGAACATTGCCGTACACTTTCACATCGGGTCATAGTAAACATAGGCTCGTATGTTTCAGGATACCTTTCTCCTGGTCACTGAAGTTTTCGATACGCAAGGAGGTAGGTATAAATACTTCTATTTTAAGAACATTATTTTCCTTTCCCTTCTCGTACTCCTCACTTTTTCTGTTCTTGAAGCCCAGGATGCTATTACAAAACATTTGCTAAAATCTTCGAACATCTCTTTTCATCAATTTGCAAAAAAAAAACACTTGAGCTCCATCATATCATCTGAAGAGATTTGATTCTTTCACAACTGAGCAAATGTGCTGCCTTTGCGTTCATGGTCATTTTTCTCGTCTCTCCGGAAAAGCTCGAGGGCTTCACTTTTTATGACAATTTCGATTTTTGTAATTATTATAGAAACCTAGACTTCAAACTCTTTATTTGACCTACCTTGCCTCAAGAATTCAAACCGAACAAAATAAGCTTATTAGAAGTTGATAGTATGAACAAATAGTCACTGCCATTCTGAAAAAATTTCACTTCTTGCATAAATAATTTTATTTCTTTGACACAGTTCTCCGACGCTCATATATTGTACAGACCAGGACTCTGTCTTTACCCCTCACAACTTTTTTTTGCGATTTTTGCACTATCAAAATGTGCCCTACAAAACACTTTTTTTTCACCATTTGCTATGTTTCTCACGCCCTAATCCTTCCATTTGTCGTTATTACAGATAGTCGAAAAAATATAATAAAAGAAAAGCGTTAGAAAAGTGAAATATGGATGAATTTGAAATGGATTCATAGACACGGATGAAACTCCCCTTGCTACAAAATCTTGTACGTAGCAGCCATTTCCCCGCATATCTGTAACTATCCCTATTCTCGTTTTCGCTACCGTAATCTACGCTTGAGCGAACTTCAAAACTTCGTAACAGACACGCTCCACTACGTCACTTTTTCTTATCGTTTTTTCCTCCACATAAAATTATTCTTGGCAACTTGCCATCGGCACACTTAAAGGATCATCCAGAGCGTGATGTGTCAACATAGATCTGCAGATAACACCGATATCCTGCGCATCTGCTAGTTTACGAGCAAAAATACTGTACAAACTGTGGGCGTAACCACCTGTTTGTGATTGTTTGTGGTGACGGACGGTTTCTTGGAAAGGTTGAAGAGGGGGGGGGGGGTGAAACTGAATTTGTGTCACCAAAGGGCACGCAAGAGCACATAAATAAACTAAAGAAAAGTTTGCCACGAAATTCTGGGAAAATTTATGGGGAGGATTTACATTAGAATCTCCAAATTACAAAACCCCCTTCAAGAGAATTTCCTCCGTTAGGAAGTGTTTTACTAAAATATTGTCTTCGTAAACTTTGGCAAAAATATTTTCTTTCTTTCACAGTTTTTCGTCCCATAAAAAATCACGGCTTCACTGGCTTGACCTTTTTCTTTTCTATAATCAATGAGCGATAACCAGATTATCACTGACCACACCAAACGAACATGAATAATCACTCCGAGTAAACATTGGCGTGCGCCAATGGGTCATAAAACTCCCAGTGACACCAAGTGGCTACTGGGCAGCGGAAATGAGGGATATGACTAGGTATTTTTCTGGGGGGGGGGGGGGCGGAAGTTTCTCACCCGAGCCATACTCTCGCACCTAAGTGATGTGCCTGCCAGGCACATCCGAGCTCGCTACAGTTACGAGCTCCTCTGGAGACCAAGACATTGCAAGCCCCTCCCCTTCATTTAGTGTTCGCTCCAGATGATGAAACCAGATTTTCAAAGAAACTTTCAAATCGAAGTTCAGAAGTGAATTTGCTCCAATCAACGCCAAATTTCGGATTTAGGGGTTTTCGAGGTTGCCCTTTTCAGTAGTGTGGTTTGTTTGTTGCAAAGTCGACGGCACCGATGATGCTTAACCAAGATTGAAATTCAATTTGGGGGTTTTCAGTTTTCTATTTCAATACAAGACCAGAACTCAGGTTTATGGGTTCACGAAATCGCTTTTTCGATAATGATATATGTTTTGTGCGATATCAATAGGATTTTTTGGACAATTTTTTGGAGGAAAAATGTTCTTTTCAGCAAAACCCGGATTACTTTCACAGAATTGGCCAGATGCAGGAACAAGTATGTGGTTCCGTAGTGTTTTCTTCTCCTGATTTCATTCTCAAGATATGTCAAGGTACAGCGCTTATAATGACCCAGCCAAGTATTTCTTGAAACTTGATATAGCACAGGTTACTGTGGTCATCGAGGGAAAATGTAACGCTTACAAGCGACTGCAAGAAGAAAACATCACCGAAAAATGGTTCATTGCAAAAATTTAGTACTTTGTTGTTCAATTATTCATTTATAAAAATTAGGATCAAAATTTTTTGAAAAAATTACTGCTTCTACTACAACCTTCCAACGGAATTACTTAATTGGGTCTAAGTTTCATATAAATCCATGCCACGGATGTTTTTTTTTTCAATTGTCCATTCATAAATTTTCGAGAGCCCTTAAACCTGAGTTTTGGTCTTGTATCAAAATAGAAAACTGAAAACCTCCAAATCCGAATTTTAATCTTGGTTAAGCATCATCGGTGCTTAACGTCGATTTTGCAACAAACAAATCACACTACTGAAAAGAGCAACCTCGAAAACCCCTAAATCCGAAATTTGGCGTTGATTGGAGCAAATTCACTTCTGAACTTCGATTTGAAAGTTTCTTTGAAAATCTGGTTTCATCATCTGAAGCGAACACTAAATGAAGGGGAGGGGCTTGCAATGTCTTGGTCTCCAGAGGAGCTCGTAACTGTAGCGAGCTCGGATGTGCCTGGCAGGCACATCACTTAAGTGCGAGAATATGGCTCGGGTGAGAAACTTCCCGCACCCATTTTTCTGGGATTCAGTAAAAAAATGAGAAGCACTGCGATTGATTTTAAAAATGTTGTTACATGGATTTTCAAAAAAAATCGTTCTATCAATATGGAAAATTTGTGCATAAGCAATGTCAATTTTTTGTATTATGTAACTCATGCCAAGTTTAACCAAAATGTTTGAATATCTAAGAAAGCATAAAGTTTGTTGAGCCCTTTCCAGGACTGATTGATTTTCTGCAAATTAATCAATAAAATCAGACCTTAGATTTTTTATCCGTGATTCACCCGTTTCAGCTACACTTTCCCAAAACACTTCCAAAGAGCAGTTCACATTGGGAACCGAGTTCATTCCAGCTGACGGATCTTCAGATTTTCTGGACATGGCTTTCCGCGCATCTTGTCATCCGTAAGTGTTTTCTTGATGTTTTATTTGAGAGTCTAAAAAGACGTCATTCGACTAAACATAGTTGTTTATACTCGCCTCTCCAAATGTTTTTTGAACAAGAAAACCAGTCTCTTGAAGATTTTTCTTAGATTCTACTTCGGATCCGGATGTCAACGATATTGTAAGCCGACCTTTAGTCATACTTGCGACTTAGATGGAAGAAAAATTTGCACCAAAGGCTGGAAAGGGGAGCAGTGCGACCAGCGTAAGCTTTTATTGTTAAACAGTTTTATTTTGCTGAAATGTAAATTTTTTTCCTGCCCACTCTGTCAAAAATTTTGCAAGATATAGGGTAGTTTTAAAGATATTATTTCAGTCATTGGCTAATAAACCACAATTAATTTTTCCAGACTTGCAAAACTTTCTGAAAGTTCAGAAATGAAAATCTCCGTCCACCCCTGGGTTTTCTTTCCCACCCAAATCCCCGCATAGTTTCTCAGCTGCCCCTATACTCAAAAATCTTGCCATATGTTCAGCACTAACCTTACATATGTCTCAAATTAATCCTATCTGTGTGACCTGATGACACGTGTCCGATTGTAAAGATTAGCATACGATACTTCTGTACTTCCGTAAGCGCACACTTTTATGACTTATAGTATACGACTCACTGTAAATAAGGACGGATGACACCTAGCCAAAGGCAGACTCGGAGCTGGGTAGTCCCTGCTCTTGTTCCAGGTAACTCAAGCATGCGGATAATTGGCCTCGCTCTACTGTCGGAGAAGATGTACCGATACTGGTTTAGAGAAAATAATTAGGGAGCTAGGGAAGACTCCTCGGATGAAAAGTCATGTTCCCTTCCGGCCCGAAAGCGGGAAGATCCGGGTGTTTTGTCCCGTCTCCCATTCACTTGCGGGGGCCATTTCAAGCAGCTGGCAATGCTGTGTTGCCGGTTTCACAGGTGCCGCTGCTTTGGAGAAGACATACAATGAAATCAGCATTCTCCAACCCCCCCCCCCTCCCTCCCTCTCTTTTTTCCGGATCAAAGGAAAAGGTTTTTTTGACTAGGGTGAAACTTTGAAAAAAATGAGGAGGAAGAAGGGAAAATATCGAGCCTCTCCCTACCAAAATGACACTTCGAAGAAAAATAGTCGTGAAACATTTTTAGAAAAATACTGTACAAACAACTAGTGGAACACCTAACACACTTCGAAAATTAGAGAAAATATTATAGATAACTGAAAAAAAACTGTTATAATCAACTAGTGACACTCCACAAGTTTAACATTCTGAAAATCAGATAAAGCTCCAATTATTAAGGTTTACATAACTAAATAAAATACCGATGACAGTCTCCAACCCATTCAAAGTTTCGCGGTTACCCTGTATTCCTCGATCCAGGAATTTCCAAAATATTTTTCGCTTTCTTTCAATTTTCTGCTAGAAGAAAAAACAGGAACCTTAGCAATGTTCATTTACTCCTTTCATTATTTTTCTTTAGAATCCGTCTTTTTGATTTTTCAAGCCATATTTATACCAATTCCAATTTTAGCAATCTGCCCTGACGGTTGCAAATATGGTCGTTGCGCTGAACCGGGCAGATGTGAATGTGACCATGGCTTTTTTGGACCAACCTGCTCTGAGGTATACATAATTTCAATTTTTCGTTGCAAAAAAAATTCTAAATTGGATTTTAGTGTCGACGGAGCGAGAATTGCCGACATGGTACTTGTCGTGATGATAAACCATTTACTTGCGCTTGTGAGCCTGGATGGGGTGGAATATTTTGCGAAAGGGGTGAGTTTGAATGAAATAATATCATAGCAATTGAGGATTGGGTAAACTCTAGCATAAAGAAACAAGTAAAATTGTCCATTGAAAAGTGTAGAGTTTCCAATATCAAAATGAGAACTTTTGACAAAAATTTTTTGGCAACTTTCCAGTTTCCACAGGGTCACAGGTACAGACTTACCCTGGAAATGGAGACTATTTTGACATTTGACACTATTTTGACTTTTTTTTTCTTGACTAAAGAAATGAACAACAGCTGAGTCTGAAGGGTTTTTGTGAAAAAATAGGGCTTGTACTTTCGAAAAACATTTGGGCAAAAAATTAGTTCTGGCAACTTTCCAACTATTACAGATCTCGAGTACTGTACCCGCCACAAGCCGTGCAAAAATGGTGCTGTGTGCACTAACGGAGGCGAACGCACAGACTTCACCTGCCAATGTCCGGAAGGTTTTGTCGGAGCCACTTGTGACATTCAACTACCCAGCATCTGCATACATCAAGGAATTTGCAGAAACGGTAAGTCCGTGACATTTTCTGCTCAAGAAATTCGGCCGCTACCGTAACCGTATCATCTCGCGCGCTAGTCCATTTGCCTCCTAAGGGACGTAGTGTAGTCCGGTGCAGATGTTAGAGTGTGTCTTTACGTCAATCCTAGCGTATTGTAATGCTAATCACAAATCGTGTCTCGCTCGCGCCTCCATTAAATCGTCTCGCGGGCCGATGCTCTCTTTCTGCCCCCCCCCCCCTCTTTTTCCCCCGTACATTTTCCCTCTCGGCGCGCAGCTAAAAGAGAGTACGAGCGCACGGTCCGGGGCACATTATCCTTGACGGTGAATGTGCTTGCGCTCTCAATGAGGGGTCCGCTTGATGATATGTAGTTACGGACTGTGCGTGTTTCTTCTTCTTGTGTTTTTTCCGCCCCTTCATACGGTCGCTTTTCTAGGTGGTTTGTGTACGGACGCCGACACAAAACTCGGCAGATGCATTTGCGCTGACGGATTCGAGGGACGCTATTGTGAACGCAGAAAAGTGCTGCCGTTGTGTACGGCTACCAGCTGCAAGTGAGTGCTAAGGATGTTAAAAAGAGCAGTGATCCGTCTCGAAAAGAATGGAAAAAAGAAGAGCGTGCTCACTTTTTCAACGAGCACAAAAGTTTGAAGACCAAAAATTTCGTTTTTTACACTGAAATACTCTTCATTGATTTACTTACATTGGAAAAGACTATGAAAACTTTACAAGGTTTCAAGCAAGCTTTTGTCATTCAAGACATTCATTGCATCAACTACTATGTATACTATACATCATCAAACCCTAATGAAAAAATTTTTTCTTCAATTTTCAGTAGTTTGTCTTGCAAGATTAGTTTTTGCAACCCCTCCCAACAACTGCAGTATTGTGATTAAGTAGAACATAGAATGATCTTTTCTGAGTAAATGCCGAAGACGCGAAGATGGTCCCTATTACCCTTTCTAGGTCTGCATGCCTATCAACACTATAGATCACCCTTAGATTCTTCAAATCACACGAGAACTGGTCTCTTGCTAATTACTAGCTCTCTTTTTTTTCTAAATATTCGTGATAAAAATTATGAAGTATTATCACATAGAACGAAAAACTTGTGAAGACATAACTTTGTTGCTTTTGATGTTTTTTAAAAATCTGCAAGTTTTTATCTAACCCTATTTCAGGAATGGCGGACTGTGCTTCGGTGGTTCCAACTGCGTTTGTCCACAATGCTTTTCTGGGCCAGACTGCTCCATAGTTGATGAAAATTGTCTATGGCAACGTGATAACAACACCCAGACTCTTACAGCCGTAGCTGATCAGGATATCACCACCGAGACGAAAATTCTCATGGTTATGGGTAAGTACCGTAACCTTCTAAAAAACCAATTTATCGATTTCTATCGGTTTTTCAGCGCTCGCCTCAATATTGATGCTGACTACATGTGTCGTTGTTTTCTTTATGAAATACAAAAAGATGAAGCGAATTCTACATGACCCCATCACGCAAAACCATCTGAATGAACATCGCCAAATTCACGAATTACCGCGTCGATCAATCGATAATCGATCACCGGATGAAGTCTACAAGGTTAGTTTGTGTGTGTGTCGTCCGGACATGCAACGCATATATCATTGTCTCATTAACCGGCACTCGGCGCAACGGGTGGTCGTCGACATTTGATCTTTGCCGACGCACGACCACACCGAGGCAAATTCCGTTGACGAAAAATGGCGCGCGATAGAACACCTTCCGGTGATGCGTAAGAGCTTAGGAAGTTGAAGGAAGCATTAGCGCAAAATCTTCGGGCAAAACATTCTGGCAAATCAACAGAAATCGTAAACTCGACAGTAACTCAGACTCACAGTAAAAGAAATATTGAGATGCTAAATAATTGCAAGGAAATTAGCCAAAATATGCAAAATTGCCGCAGTAGGCCTGACTAAATTTTCGAGCCTCGTCATATACAAGTTTCGCCGAGTCATTTGTAGCTTAGTATGCTTGTTGCACACCATGCGCGTTATTAGACAACTTGTAGTTATTATTTGCTCACTTCCACTTATTTCTCCTCAATGTATTAGTGGGTAAACCACATTTCTGCAGTTTGATGCTTGAAAGGGTTTTCTGAGAAGTTGGTATTGAAGCTGTTGTCGGTTGCCGCGCAGAGTGTGCAGTTCTCATATAATTACAAATGACCTGAGGAAGATTTTGTCGCTTTTTCAAATGTCTTGTTCGGCCACTACTTGAGTGTGTCTTACTGTAGAATAAGCTTGCAACTAAAGCTCTGACGCAAATTTAGTTAAGCGGTCATTTAGCCAATGGATTCCTGGGTAAAACTAAAGCAATACATAAGTAAAGTGTTGTGTGAATCATGGCATGGCGCAGTTCACGCCAAAATTTATTTGTTACGCCTTATTCACATGTACGAACGATGGCTGAACAGGTAACCTGATGGAAAGAAGCTTCAATCATAACAGCATTTTCGTCTAACGCATAACCCATCTTTGGCAGATTTTCTGTTAGAGTTCACAAAATTTATCAGAATCGAACGCAACAAAAATTCGTTCAAAAATGTGATCAAATCCTGAAGTAAATTTAATCAAACCTGGCAAAATCTCGACGCTTAGCTGCGGGAAAAAAGTCATAACGAATCTGTATCTGGAAGTTATGTTCAATCAAACACCTTCGATAAATCCTCTAATCATTTATAGTAAAAACTTACTGCTCGTGTCCTGTATTAATCACTGGCGGCTACGAGATTTTGCACAACTTTCACAACTAGATTCTGAAGAGTCACATCAACATAGGCGATTTTCTAAATTGTGAAGATTTGTTGAAAACTATCCTCATTCGCTGAAGTCTCGAAAAAAAGCATAAATCTCAAAAGAAGCATGAATCCCGAAAGAAGTTTAAAAATAGTGTGGACAAGCAGCGGTCGTCGTCAATAGGAATAATAATAAAATCGTTTTTGGAAAAGCTGCTGTAGCCTGCGAATGATGCAATCTTTAAAAAGATGAGAGTAGTTCTTCACTTTTCTTATCGCCATATTACCGTAATGCGCCTAGAGTGACGGATTATTGCGGACCTCATCACATTGTTCGGACAGTTGACCCAAAGTTTCATAAACTGCCAGTCAGTCGCCGTTCGGCAAAGAAGATCCTGCTCCTAACCCGTCTCTGTTTCAGGTTTTTGTCATCCCATCAAAAAAATCGAAAGACATCGAACGACCGGTGAGCGTCGAATATGAGACACGGTACGTGTCACAACCACGTGGACGCTACCGTACGCTACCGTGTGTGGACGTCACCGCCGTCGAACCGGAACCGCACTACGCCGAAATCGAATATCGGTCTACTACCGTATCCTTGGATGATAAGCAATTTTCCGACAATGCATGTGTCGTCTAGTCTTTGATGCCTTACATGATGTGTGTCACCATATTAGGAATAGCCTTGATCTCAGAGTTTTTTTTTGACAAAGCAAAATGCTACATTTTGATAACCGGTTATGCCATTGAGTAGTATAGTAATTATGTGTCTTTATGTCACCCCCCCCCCCCCACCTCACTCTTTTTGGTAAAAGGACCATTTAGCCTTATAATCCCCACGCTCAATCTACCGTAATCACTTAGCCAACCTTTGAATGCCTTGAAAACCTTGTCAATGACTGATTTTGATTTTGCTACACTTACTGTGCATTTATGTACATTATAGGTGGAACTTTGAATGGTTGTACAACTTATATCGCTGTTGTATTTTGTAAATACATATATTTATTGATTTCGATGAGTTTATCGCTTGCATGTTTGATTTCTGTGAAATAAATTATCAATAACCATGAATTGTTGCGCGCATCATGAAAGTCTACTTGAAAAACAATGCATAAAAAAGTTTAAAATCAAGAGTCATTATAAATAACCTACTCCCCCTCGCTTTTAGTGCTGCTGTCAGCCTCATTTTCACCATATTCTTGAATGTAACTTTAGCTGATTATAAAAGATTTTATATGCGATTATGGCCAATTTCTAAATTTTGTAAAGATTTCATTGACGTGGAGAACAAGGGGAGAAGGGAGGGAAAATAAATAGAACAAGGAACGGAGGTAGATGAAGGAAGAGAAAAGGAGCCCGAACAAGACTACCATTTGCAGTTCCAGCCAGGAATGGAAAACGTGGTCTTCAGATTCTCCCTTGAACCTTAGTTTTGATATAAAAGCAAAACCTCTTTTTTTGCCATTGTTTGAACATTCTATGACTAATGCTGAGCATCAGTTTAACCCTAGATTACTTCTTATACGTTTCTCCAAATTCTATCCTTCTTCGCGCAAGAATCCTCTGGAAGGATTGAAACCTAGAAATGAATGCACTGACGATGATGATGATGACAGCTCATCAATAATCGCATTACTATGCCAGCTAGACGATCATCGATGGCTGCGTGTTAAATCAAGGACGCTTATTCAGCAGCAACGACGGGTGCCATAAGTATTTCAGCAATGACAAAAAAAATTCTGAGTGCGCTTAATCCTTAGACAAAAGAAAGAGAAACTTTGATCAAAACCTTCGCGTGGAAAGAAAAGGGTATCTTAAACTCATCGTAGCGTAGATTCACTTTATCCGAAAATACTAGCAAATTTTTAACTCATTGCTCAGTTTTTAGGTAGAACGTCTTCACACATCGCAGGATCTTGAAAAAGAGTGTCACAATCTGAAAATACTTTGGGATGTCAAATCGTTACTACTCAGAGTTAATAGATCAATAATATTTATTTCGTTACTCGTAAATTAGAATATACAGTTTCATTCCGACACGCGGGACACACGATTGTGAATGTGTGTGCGAATGCAGACTATACACAATGCGCGTCAAATTCCGGACATTTTGGGAACATAAATTAAGCAGGGAATCTTGCTTTTGAGGTTTAAGTGTTTACAAAATAATTCTTTTGCTTGGTCCCTCCTTTGGACAAAGTTAGAACTCATTTCTGAATCTTTCCACAATGCGTGAAGAAAACAAAAATGAGAAAGGACACAAGCAAGCACTTTGCTGGAGTATCAGACACGTTCCTGAACTCCCGAATCCTACGCGCAATGTGCATGTTTTGTGCAAACGCACTTTCGAGTTACGAATTGACTTGACTATAGGGCCTAAGTTGGGATAGTTTTATTGCTTACACGATAATTTGAAGTGTGTTCTTTCATGGAGTTTTTAAAAAAAATGCAAAAAAATCCTCTTTGATGAGACTACTAACTGAGAGTAAATTCCGGTAAGTTCCTCATAAAGTTATTTCAACAAAAACCAGGTTCTTTCTCTTAACTGCTACAAGAAATGATCTACCAGTCAATCAACTTCTAATTCATATGATTTCCGTAATCAAGCTAGGAGCCAGCCATATATCATTCTCACTAAGCTGTTGCATTCAAACAATACTCGCTGTTTACCTGAGTGATACACAAGAACGAAGATAAAAGCCGCGATTAACATATCCAAAGACACCTGGCGATCAACATAGCGGCCACTTCAAAGACGAACTCTGCGACAACGTTTGGCTCTTGTTGATTCATGCAAAACAGCATATCAAGGGTGGATCAAAACTTTTTTCATATTACTCAACCTTCACATAAGGCCTAATAATCAATAAAATTCAATTTGAAAAAAATAAAGAGATTTGATTGGTATGTGGTGATTTTCTCCATTGGCAAATAGCTGCGGAAAATTACCGGTGGTCCATAACTTTTTCAGAATGTCCAGTTTCCAATCCATCGGACTGATAACTGCTTATAAGATGCCGATTTTGCAAAGAAATAGATAAAAAAAACATTTTTTCCATAAAAACATGCACGATTATCCACAAAAGGTACGAAAATTTTTTTTGGAAGTGTCAAAATATTATTCCATTTTGACAGAGATAACGATAAGATCCGTGCAAATTCGAACAGAAATATGACTTCATTTCGGGAGCTCTTGGGGACTCTAGAATACTTCCAATAATTCAATTACCTAGCAGATATTATTAGCCAAGATTATTTATGACATCAAATTATTAGACTCATCGAAAACAAAAGACTGTTGTTGGATTTATTTTAAATTCATTTGATAGTTTATTATCCATTACCGCTCACGAACGTGATTGAACAAAAAACATCGAGTGGTAGAAAGTCAAGATAAAACACAGACATCTCCGATAGCCTCGTTGAAATTCTCAGCTTTTTTGTTTTTTAATCTTCTTTCGTATCTTGTTTCGAAGTTTTACAAAGTATTTGTTAAGAAAAAAAAGCAAGGCTACTGTACGGGAAGTTCCGATCGGGTTGTTTGATGATCGGTCACACACCACCATTTCGTAAAGGTATTTCAACTAGTTTTTGTATGATTCAAATTTTTTACATGATATCTCCCGAGAATGTATTAAATGAGTATCACTTATTTAGACTCCGATCAATCGTTAACTACACTTAGCTAAGTAGCTAAGTACACTGTCCCACTTGCGTATTTTAGCCAACAACCTTGAAGCGACACTCTAATTAGAGCCTTGCAACGTTCGGCTAAAATGAGCGAGTAGACTCGGAAATGAAACAAAGACCGCAGCTCTGCACAAAAACACACACTGCTCCCAATTTTGGAGTGACGATACGGAAGTGAATGATTGGTTTCCGACATCTGAGGCACAAGAAGGGATAAAACGATGATTTTCAAAGATGAAGAATTTCAACGTCGTTTGGTGCCGAATAAGAGATGATTTGCTGAGCACCAAGTTTCAACAAATACGGTAAATAATGAATCCTTCGGAATAAGCCGAATCTCCAACATTTGTAAACATTGGTTGGATCCACTTATAAGAAGTTGCTTGCAGCTGTCAGCAAAGTGATTTGTTACTGCTATCTCTAAGATTGGGAGCCTAATGATATCAGGATATGTCTAACCTTTTCATCAAATGTGAGTTTCTAAATTTACAGAAATTCTATAATCTCGCACCAGAAAAACTGAAAAAATTTCATTTTATAGAGGTATGAAAGATTTCAAGATCTCCAAATCAATATTATATGATAAATGTTGTAACTTATAATACATTCCATAAATTCTTGTAACTACAGTAAAACGATATAAAAACCCTAATCATTTGTAGACACATACGTATGATCAGCACGAATTCTTAGGCAAAAGAGCAAATCATAAAACCAAAAGCAATCCAAAAACTGGCATTAGGAGGCCTTTAAACAAGTAGTGACCAGGCTTCAAAACATCGCCTTATAAGTTCTTTGACAAGCTTAATCGTTGCGATATGCCGATAAAGATTTCTAACTCAGATACTCCTAAAAAGCGCGTACTTTTCTTTCTCCATTAGGTACCCAAAAGAAGGATTTCTAGCTGTAAATAATGAATCTTTATTGGTTAATTTTCAAAAGTTGCAAGACTTATGCAGTAACTCGGTGTTTGCGGTTTTCTTCATATTTGCCCCGCAAAGTGCTGTATGCATCATTTATTTTCTGCTAGTTACCTAGGAACAAATTTTATACTGCGTTTCATCATCAGATTCCAGGCGCTCCAATGAAGCCTTCCAAAAAATCTTGGAAAAACCGCGAAACTGTGGACAAAGGACCCATTCCTCGGTTGGCCGACGAAGATCGAACAGGCAAAGCTCTCAGGAACGTGGAAGTACATTCTCGCTATAATTGCTGCCGTTAATGGAAAATATTTCTAATTCTTGATGACGCGCTCTAGGTTTCTAACAGTAAGGCACAGAACAGTACTGTAGTTCAGAGTCTCATTCTTGGATAGTTTAGGGACCCCGTCATCATCAAAGATGTTTACAGCTATTGCAAAGATGTGATAGCGTCAATGAATCATTACCGTAATCACATGCGTCGCACAAAGTTTCGCTGACACTTGACACTGCAGTTCGAGTTTCGATATTCGCGGCATTCGAACCTGTATGTGATCGCTGTGAAAAGGAAGCGACAATTAATGGCGACAAAGGCATTAGCCGTTCCTCACTTCATTCAAATGGGTGGTTGTGAATGAAAGCGAAGGAATGTGAATTGGAAACGAAACGCTGTTTGTCGTATAAGAGAGCTTAATTCAGGAAATTTGGGAGCTGATGAAACAGATATATAATCGAAATTTCATAGAGATATTATTAAGAATTCTCCTATGTACTAGGCTCCTACTACTCGCTATTTCATCAATTATTCGGAACTTTCAAGATCTGCGAATTTCAGCAAAAACACCTGTTTCATTATTTTCCAAAGAAAGGTCTTCCGCACAACACCTGCACTCGCGCATCTGAAAACTCTACCGCATTTGTGCATACTGCAGAGGCAGCTGCTCCTTTGAAAGGGTGCCAATAGGATGACAAAAAGACATCTGTAGACAAATGAAGCGTATCGGGCTTGAGCTTCACCACAATACTCGCTTCAGAAATTTCTAAGGGAGGACTCAATAATTAAAGCTTCAGCATTTATGTAAACAAAAAATCAGTCTTCTAGTTCAGAACTTAGACAAAATAAATAAATGATAAAACAATAATAAACCTGAAAATTCACGGGGATAAATTCAAATATAGTACAAACACTATTGCAAGAGATACACAAAACATGCATAGCCAGGATAGTTCGGGTATGGTAAAAGATCATATCTGAAATTACGGAGACACTCGTTAATAGGTAGGTGAAGTCTCAAGGAGGTAAGATCATGGTATGTACAAATCTATGTTATAAGAAATAATCAGACTGAGATCAACTCAAACGAGTCAAACAACATATCCGTCTGGCAAATGCATCCTGTCATTTGATGACAGGTGGTTTCCATGAATAGGATCAAATGATCTTGACCACATAGCACCATTATCGTAAGCGCTATGATCATTGAAAGTGCCAAATCCAGAATCCATGTATGCAGAATGTACGGACACCTAAAAAAGTGATAGGTGGATGTGTCCAAAATATAGAAAAAAATTGAGAAAATGCATCAAACGCAAGTGTATCGACAGACATTACGTCACCATGGATAGCATCAGATGTTACCGCATGAACCAAAGCATTTTGAGAGCTTCCGAACCAAAGCATTTTGAGAGCTTCCCATACATGACTTACAAAAAAAAATATATGCTTATTGCTGAGAACTCAGCAATTTCATGGTGATCGCTATATAATGACAAAAAAACTCAATTGTATAAAAAATTTCCAAACATAGAGCACTGAAAAAACGTACCTTTTCCTCTTGCGTGTACTGTCCAAATGCAAAGCCATGATTTGGCGATGAGCTAATCTCGAGTGGTTTTTCCTCTGGCTTGGGCATTTGGAAGATGAAAGGCTGTGTGTGTACAGGAGAGATGTACGGACTCTCCAATCTGGGTGTCGTAGTAGAAAACTGTGGCGACAAGTAAGTAGTCACCACACAATGTGGAGTTGAAGCATTGCTGAGCGGAGATGGAGCATTCTGCATGCGTCGTGTAGGGGTGGATTGAGTAGATCTAGGTGAAGCAGCGGAAGCTTGCATTGCCCTTGTTCGGACACTTCTGCTGTGTCGTGCCATAAGCAATCGGGCGCACTAAAACACCAAGAATTTTTCATGTCTTTGTAACAAGTGATGAGTCATACCTTGAGCGATGGAGGTGTCGAACTCGCAATCACCTCTCCATTATTTGCGTAGAGCTGAACTCGAAGATTATCTCCTGATGCAAGCAAAGCAGCCACAGCCTCTCGATTATTGATGAGGGCGGTGTCATAAGGAGTTTGAGACTGAAAGAACCATTTTCGAATCACATTCAAAGAAGAGGGACATATGATGTCAAATCTAAAATCACAGGTCAATAATAATTATGAAAGCAACTGTTAGTAATTTATGATGAAAAAAAATGGAATTATGGAAGATTTTGCAACATTCAACAAATCCTCTCCACTGCAAAACTTCTCCCCGGCCGGGAATTGAACCCGGGTCTCGCATGTGACAGACGCGGATACTCACCACTATACTACCGAGGACATACCAACACTTCGCGCGCATATGTTCAAATGGCAATCTCTTCGAATATGGTCTCAAACTTCCATAAGCAAGTCAATTTATAGATTGTGCCAATGTTCCCGACTGAATTTCTTTCAACAAAATAAAGATGAAATCCCTTGACCGATCGGAAGCAACACTTACTTTGTCATTTCTGAGCATCACACTAGCTCCTGCTTTAATCAATTCCTTGACTGGCCCTTCATGACCTTCAGATGCAGCTAGGTGAAGAGGCGTGCAGCACTAAAAACAATCCAAGTTAAGCGAACTCCATGCATGTAAAAATTAAGGCATTAATTACCTCATGATCTTGACAGTCCTTGTTGGCACGGCGTTCGAGTAAGAACGCCACCATTTTTGCGTTGTCATATTTGGCAGCGAAATGTAGAGCTGTTCTCCCTGTCCATGTATTCAAAGTCTAAAGCCATAATAGTAATAAAAATTATCACGTAGCCACGGTTGACTCACGTTATCTCCATCATAGTTAACTTTGGCACCGGCATCACAAAGATGTTGAGCAAATTTTGTATCCACTCTGTCATGCATAGCTACTAGCATCAAAGCGGTTCGATTTTCATCGTCTACTGCGTCAACCTGGATCGTTTCATGTAAAAATAAAACCCTCGCAATTTGAGTACAACTCACCTCTAGCCTCATTTCCTCAACTTGTAGGAGGGCTTTTCCTATATTATATGCGCACATTCGCGCAGCAAGGTGAAGGCAAGTGGAATTCTGATGATCGCGGATAGCTGGAGAGGCACCGAGCTCAAGAAGTTTTCGCACTATGGCGAGTTTACCCATGGAGACAGCTGTGTGTAAGGCGGTGTCATCATCTTAAGAGAGAAAAATGGCCGATAATGTGACAGAGTTTCAAAAAATCGCAACACTCACAGGCATCCCACAAATCCAAGTCTGCTCCAGCTGCACGAAGCCTTGTCAGGTCCTCTAGTATCTGTTCCTCCGTCTTCGTAGTGTTCCTCACTAGAACCATCACAGGAGTGCGACCGAATGGGCCTCGACGATTGACATCTTCGGTACAGATAGGAACGAGGATAGGTTTGTCTGAGAGTGCTTCAACATGTAGACTTGACGGTACGGGCTCAGCTCTCTTTTCTTTCGGCTGCACAAATACTCTGTAACGTATGCTTCAAAGATAAATGTTTCGAAAAATGACGTCATATATAATACATTAAAATTGACTTCCATGCTTCCCAAAAAAATCAGTCAAGACTTCTTCTTATAGTGCTGATTTAGAATTTACTACTGCGTAAATAAAATCTAAAGCATATTTAAGAAAACTTTTATATCATACCTGTTAGTTTTGAGAGACTTCGGCGTCAAATGCTGCTCCAGTAACTTTACTTCGGCAGGATCCATTCGCCTTCGCTTTGAGCTTTCGAGCACGACCCTATTTTTCCAGCTGTTTCCATTGCACTTCATCGCCTTTTCAACTAAATCTTCTACAATAAGACATTATGCTTAGAGAAATGAGAGTTGATACCTTCAAGCTCCGTGGGAGGCATCCAAACGGGCGCATTCTCAATCACTTTTCTCTTTCTACTCGGTCTTTCATGAATGATGAACACGATTGCGATAGCAATCATAATAGCGATGCATGCTAGTAATACTAGAAGAGTGGTATCCAGAGTCTTCTTGAATTTTTTGGGATTCTTGGCATCAACCGAATGAATCGACATGTTCATCCCAGTGAGTTTCTACAAAAAAATTATCCAATTTAAAGGTTTGATAAACTTTTAGAAAGGGCAGAAGCAAATAAGACGAAAAAATAATGGTCAATTTTCTCATTGACAGCGGACTGTTCACCTCTTTTGCAGCATCGATGAAGTTCGCAACAACTTCGACATCAGTAAAACATTCTTCAACACAACTGGCGACATCCACTTCTATCCACACTACCACACCACGTTTCTCCCCTTGAGATTTTTCGGAAGAAAAGTACTATAACAGATTTTCCTTAGCACCAAAGATGTGCATGGAATAAACCAAAACTGAGACATACCAATTGCTCTATCCTGAGACGGTCTCCTTTACGTTCATTCTGCCACAGAAAAATCATCAGTCCTTGCTGATCTCTCTTGATTCGTATCTCTGCCCTCAGAATTTTGCTGAGAGACCGCAAGAAACGCGGGATATTGACGACGAAGTAGGAAGGCTCCGCCAGCACGACAACTGAGATTTCTCCAGATAGCTGCAAACAAGAAGCCATTGTAGTGCGAAAAAAGCTGACTTTAAGTAAAATTTACAATTTTGTGAGAGATCTCGCGGCAATCGCCACCATCAAAACCACAACCTTCTTGGTTGCACTGTTCGTCACAAATTCCATCACCCTTATGCTCTCTACAGTAAGCTGCTATGGCAGCAGGGCAGACTGGCTTCTTCGTCAAGCAATCGAAGCCATCAAATAAGCAGTCTTCGTTGTTGCAGACCTAGAAATGAAGGCTTCTGGCATATTCATACAACAGTTGTAGTAATTTACCTCATTACAAACTCCATTTCGGAACATTCGAGCACAAAATGTGGAATTAGCACATTTGTTGAATGGACTGGTGACTGAGCAATCGCCACCATCATAATTACATTCCGGTATGTTGCAGTCTTCATTGCACTCCCCATTCCCAGCCTTTTGTAGACAGCCAAAGCATCTAAAGGGTTTATTCCTGAGAAACAAGCGATGAAAATACCGATCTCGACATGATTTTCGACATACCTCGGAATCTCGTTGCTTTTCCATACAAAGCCTTCCTTGACGTTCTCGCATCTTTGCCCATTATAGCCGAATGGACAATGGCATACATATCCATTTGTTCCATCTATACATGTTCCGCCATTGTGACAAGTGCTGAACGAAAAATAAGGTCTGGTACAAAATCGGCAGAAAAAACAAATTAAAGAAGGAGCGAGAAATTCACTTGACAGTACAAGTCTCAACAGCTTCGTCACATGTCTCTCCTCTGTATCCATGAGGACACATACAAAAGAAGGAGCCGGGTCGGTTAACGCAAGTACCGCCGTTCTTACACGGGTTATCTACACATTCGTCTACGTCCTCTTCGCAGAAGAATCCTGCAAAATTCTGTTGCATTGATGTTCTAAAAGCGAGAAACAGTTACCTGTGAAGTTGGGGGGACAATCACAAGTGAAAGCGTTTAGTGCAGTATTGCAAGTTCCACCGTTGAAGCATTTGAATGGGCCATCAACATCGCAGTTTTCAAGTGGTGAGCGCCAGATATTACAAGTCTCACCAACATGATCTTCTCGGCATTCGCATCGAAATGATGTGCCCTATAATTTAAAATTCTCTGTCCGATATGTGAAAAGAAAACAGAGTTTAGAACCGTTCCAAAGATATTAGACGAGATACTTTACATAGAAAGAAATACAGGGAAAAGGTATACATACAGAGCAACTTACCTCTGGAATGCATTCTCCAAATTCACAAGCATGCAGATGGCAAGGCTCGTCATAATCCTGTGCAGCAGTACGGCTAATAAGTATAATCAAAAGTGACAACACCTTCAGCGTGCATCGGATCCATAGACCCATTGATGACTGTAAGATAGGATATTTTACTATAAAGGAAAAACAACGGGAACCAATACTGATAGCGGGGTTTTGGTAACATTTGCGAATAACGGCTCTCCCAACTAGGAAAAATAGAGAACGTCCGGATGAGACAACCAGCATACACCAAAAAACCAGGAAAGACCACTATGTAGATGAAACCCAATTAGCAGAATATCCGCCTATGTACTCATCTCTGTACTGCGAAAACATTATCACAAAAATTTTTGGCGCTAATTACGGGAAAGTGCTCGCGTGCATGTACTTTGCGCCTAAGGTCATGAGTGGTGGTTAGATTAGCCGATAGGTGGATCAGGAGGTTACCGTCCAGAGAAAAAATGCCGCTGAGATAAATTCACTCAAAAAGGCAAACGTCAGTTCGTAAACTGTGAGCATGTGGATCTGACCGAAACTAACACAAAGCAAAAGTGGCATTATTACCACGCCATCTGAACAAAGTGGAATAAACCATTTTATTGCAGCTTGCTAACTCCTCAATGGAGCTTCAAGACATGCAACTGTGACAAAGTGAAACTTGCGATGACGATGTAAAAAAATAAATAAAACTACACCGGAAAAATGGGACATAAAACTCTCAGATTTACTGTAGCCTAATACACCGTGAGGTGAACCATTGAGCACAAAGACTAGCAAAAACCATGTATGAAAGGACAAGTAAATAAAATCTAAAGAGAAACAAATCTAAAAATTTCTATAAATCCCATAAAATTCTAAAACAAATCTAGCGAAGGTGGGAATAAATAAAATGGTAAAGACAGACGACTAACAGTATGTGACGACATTCGAAACCTGTATGTTCACTCGCTGCTGCAAATTCAGTGAACATTTTGCGCATCCAACGAGGATTGTGATGATGAAAGCAACTGAAAATTCTGCAGACATCAGTAGACACATGATTATATTATCTGAACGAAACAGAAGCCAACAATTTGGGATGAGTTTATTCACCGCAGCTGCACAGTCAAAGTTTCGCTATCAATATAAATGGAGCCTAGAAACTTAGAAACTTAGGTATGTTCGTTTATAGCGTAGGCATCTGAGGACACTTGTTAAAGGAGAATGAAGGTAAAGTTGTGAGTAACATCGCTACATATCCAAATAATATTAGATCGTTCGAAGGTTCTGCTGCTTCATTTTGGAAAATTTGTAACTTTGCGCTATCTCAACGGATTTGCTCTCTTGTAACTTTCGAGAAACAACATGTCTTTTGCTCTCGAAACTCTCCTGCCGAGCCTCTACTACACACTGACTGCAGAGACAAAAATGGAAAAGGAAGATCATATGAGCCTGATCCCTTTGAGTTAGGTTGCCAAAAATCTAGAACAGTGCAAAAAAAAATCTTACAAGGGAAGTCACTTAACTTAGGTCGGCCTTTTGAGATGAGAAACATACAGTTGCAATCAGCTTAAAACGCCGGTTTTAAATCTGCTTTCCATAGCTGCGAAGCATTACACTCAAGCGAGTTACGTGCTGTTTCTTGAGGAAACTTTGCGTGTTGACCGAGTTAAGCATGCTACGGTATCATCATCTAGATAGTGGTTCCAATACATACTGCACCCTATCAAAGCAAAGTGACTCAATTTGATATTATTTCAATCTCCCACCACTTTTTGGGCAGATTTCCATCGAAAGGCCCTCTTTCCATATTCAGATATGTCAACGACACATACTAAAAAAGCTCATAACTCGCTTTAGAAAAACGCTTCGCAGCTAAGGACATCATATTTGGAATCAGCGTTCCGAGCTGATTCTCAATATATGTGTTTCATTTCAAAAGGCCGACCTAAGTCAAGTGACTTCCCTTGTTAGTACATGAAATTTTGATCTACTCTTTGCAACTGTGAAAAATTTATGGTTTGGATGTGTCTGTAGGAAGTTGAGTGCAACAAATTTTGGCGTTTTCTGCAGCAAACTCGAAATTCGCAGCTTCTCACAGAGACGTCCAACGGCAGAAACTTCTCGCAGTTGCAAAGAGTAGTTCAGAAAACTTACAGTACTTAGTGAAGTACAGAGGTTTTCGGATTTTTTCTGTAGCATTCCAGACTTTTTGGCGACTAACTCGAAAAGATCAAAACTATTATGGTCTTCTTTTTCTATTTTTATCTCCGCAGTCAAAATGTAGTATATGGCAAAATAAAATTCGACAGAGAAACACGTATTTTTTAAAATAAAATACAAGGAAAGCAAATCCATCGGGAGAGCGCAAAGGAGATTTTCAAAAATGGAAAGAAAAGTTTCGGGACGACCTAATTTTATAGAGAGAGAAAAGACGTAGGTGTGTAACCCACGGCATCGATATGTTATGCAAGAATTATCACAAAGAAAAAAATCATAGTGAATGAGACAAAACAAGATCTTATTTGAAAAATTTACCAGCAACCATGGCTAACAACTTCTCAGAATGACGCATGACAAAGGTTATCGCACTACGACCCTCGCTGGCTCTTGTCACACGAGAAACCACAAGATTCCTACGTTGATCTGTAAAAACTGGAGTTCGATGGGCTTATTGCCAAATTTGCATACCAATGCCGCAGTTTGGTCCAGTCCTATGAGACAAGCAAATCTTCTCGCCTGTCTGACTGCATGTGAAGTGGCGGTTGTCGGCAGGGGATAATTTACAGTACCTACTACAGCGAGGTCCAAAAAAATTCCTGAATTTTAAATGAAGATCTAGACTAATAAAGAAGTGAACGCAAGAAAACCTTACGGGCTGCACTTGACCACAAAATCCACGTTCAAAACACTGTTAGAAGTGGACACAGATCGAGCTGGTAGAGAACTGTCAACGACGACAGATTCTTGAAAATTACCAAGGGAGCCTCAAACTCAAAAATCCAATCCTCAAAAGAGAATTGCAGGAAAGGAATCTACCTCCTCTGTCATCAGTAGCGTTGATGCTGATTGTGATGTAGTCCTTTGAATTAACTATTGATCTCTACCACTTCAAAATTTGCATAAAAACAAACCGACTGGATGTTTTTGAGAGGTCTTCCAATTTTTGTAGGGAATTCCGGATGAATTGTGAAGCTGTACGGATGAGAGTGGAAGATGCAGGATGGTTGCGGGTGAGCTTCAACATACGACGGCCACTGTGTATAGCACACGCTTACATGAACAATCTCAGTAGAGGAAAATGTCATGGTGAATATTCCGGATCCATGCTGAAAGTGAAGCCTTCATTGATGGACTGAATTGAAAACTCTAGGTGTTTTTTAGACAAAAAGGTGACAAACATTCCAGGGTATCAAGGAAGGAAAAAAAAGCTGCCAAATGAAATTACTAGCGCAGACGTGTGTCAATAACAAGCACACCTTTCAGCACACCTCGTCTTTATTTATCAAAAACAGGATTTTCGCAAATCTTTCTGTTGTTACATTTTGGAAGCCACCGAACTGATAGAAAACCACCAACAAAGAGACCGATTACAGATTTCAAGGATAAACTTCACCAGTGAAAATACCCCAAAATATATACGAGCGTCAATGAATATAGGTACAAGGTGAACACAAACTTTGTGAGTAGTGTCTTCAACTGCATGAACGAGTAGTTCGTCTCAAGCAATAGAAATAGGCAAGACCCACCTCAGCGTGCACGAAGGAGGAGACCAAAGCAAGCATGAAGTGCAGCAAGAGCATTTCGGGTTTACATATTGGTTGAAAATGTCGCTAAGGTAGGTGCCAGAGTAAGCGAACATTTTGTTCAAGTTGGGGTCCCGCGCAGAATGGGCATCACTCACCATGCTGGGGGTGGAGGACTATATGTCGCCGAATTTGGAAGAGTCCCGCGCGGATTCCCTGCAGGAACGCATGTCCGCACATGTACAAGAGTGCGTATTTGTCGCAAATGACCGCGGGGACCGCCCTTTTTCGGCGACATATAGTCCTCTACCCCCATGCTGGCGTCAATCCAAGTGACGTCAATTCTGCGAGGGACCCCAACCTGAACAAAATATTCGCTTACTCTGGCACCTACGTAACAAGTTTCGACGGTCACCAAGGAATGTTGCTCTGGCCGTGCTCGAAGCAATTCCAGTCGATCCCGGTACTTCACCGTTTCATAAGTGAGCAGTAATCTACAAGTAAAAGTCCATACGAAGTGGCACAGCATGGATCATAATTTGATATTCTTCTTCCATTCACAATTTGAGTATACAAAGAAATATAGAGAAAAGCATTTACTGAAGGGTTTCCATATCCTTCCCAATGAATTTGACAAACACCTGCATAGCTTACTCTAGCAGATGAAGGTCCTTTATATACGAAAGATGGAAACGCGAAACCACAGGAGTTTGGTGTTAAAGGCAGCGGCTCGGCAGATTGATCTACCTCAGATTTTGACACAGATGGATAGGAGGCCCTCCAAGTGAAAACAGCAACTCCGCGCCGAAAATGTGAACTCTGCAAGCCAAGGGGCGCCCAAGCGCCGCTCCCCTTCCTCTTTTCACTCTCCTACACCTCTCACCTTGTTCGGACGAGTATTCTCCGCTAGACGGCGAGGAACCCCCCAATCGCTTTCCCGCATTGTGCATGCTGTACAAAGCCAACATTACAGGCAGAGGGTCTTCGTGCCAGGGCCTCCCGATTCCTTTGAAAATTCTCGTCCGAGCTGCCTTTTTGAATTGAAAAAAAAACGCCTTGAAAAAGGCCTTTTCACCCCTTTTAAAGCTCAGATTCGGGATCTACGGGTCGAGAAGGCCCAAAACATGCAAAAAGATGGAAATGCAAAATCTGCCGGGACGCTGCCTTTAAAGGGCGGTCGTTGCGGGGTCTGGTCACTATAATCCCTTTCAACATCCCTCCATAGGTAGGTGCCAGACTAAGCGACTATTTTGTTCAGCTGCAAAAGGCGCGCAGAATTCCTGCAGCTGAAGCAGGCAATCGAGGGGTAACAAACACCCACCCTTGCACATGCACGGAGGTGCGTCTTTGCAAGAATCCGAGCGGGACCCTTCCGCATCAGGCGACATACTCAGACACTCGCTGTTGACTCGCGCCGGAGATCCGCCCCTTTTTGAGGGATTCGCGGGAAAGGGCGTAGACATGGTATACCATCGACTCCCCGACTGCTGCGAGGGCGGTCGCGAAGGTCAATTTATCAGCTATGTTTCAATACAGGGCAACCGCATCCCTGATACGCTCGCCCGGGTCCGCCCTCACGGCAATCGGGGAGCCGATGGTATAGTCCTCCATTCGCGATCGAGCGCAGAATTAACGTCAATTCTGCGCGCCTTGCAGCTGAACAAAACAGTCGCTTAGGGTTGTTTCATACTGCCGCACTGACTGCAGCAGTCTGCACTGACCGCAGCAGACTGCAGCTGACTGCACTGACTGCAGCAGACTGCAGCAGACTGCAGCTGACCGCACTGACCGCAACGACCGCAGCGGCTGAAGCCTGCAGGCGGAGAGGATAAATAGTTGTGGTTTAAACAAACAACAACAATATATACGTAAAAGCAAAGGACAACAAGGTTTAGAATGTTACAAAACAGGTATATGCAATGATAGGAAGAATTAGAACAAATACGAACACACCAAAGAAAACTATCGCCAAAATTTGATTGAGAAGAATTCTGATGGAACTTATGATCTTCTTATGCGCAAATCACGCTGTTTTGATAAGCGGTTGTTTTTTCTTTTAAGAAAAGAGGCTGCGACCGGTGTGGTCAGTGCGGTCAGCTGCAGTCAGCTGCAGTCTGGTGCAGTCTGCTGCAGTCTGCTGCAGTCTGCTGCAGTCAGTGCAGTCAGCTGCAGTCTGCTGCAGTCTGCTGCAGTCAGTGCGGCAGTCTGAAACAACCCTTAGTCTGGCGCCTACCGTAAATAATTGAAAGAAAGGGTTTAAGGTCATAGCCCCCCCCCCCCTGTCGTAGCCGACGCTATCGTAATCTTGTTCGATGATCTTGTACTGATGTTTTGTAAGATTCCGCGAACCCCGTTCGCAAAACAGTGTTTTTGTCTTGTTTGCGATTGCATATTCGACAAAGGAAGCTGCCAGCTGGCAGCCTTCCGAACACTTAGGGCCGCATGCACTAACATCCCTGCGGCGAGGGGAGCGGCGTCCCGAATGATGAAAAAGCCGCAGCGGCGTCCGCACGCGGTCCCTTCATAACGGGGGACGCCGCTCCCCTCGCCGCAAAAATGTTAGTGCATACGGGCCTTACAGTTTTGGCTCCTCCCTTTTGGAGAGTCAGTTGTGGTTGAGTTGTAAGCCGGAGAACCCGGCGCTTTCGTAGTGTTCGTTGAAGTGTTTGTGCAGTTTTGCCGGAGAATCCGGCTCAGAAATAAAGAAGTATCCAACCGTGTTTGACAGAAGCATGGTAATCAAAAATCCACTGAACCTCAGCACATTTCTGGTGCATAGGCCGGGAAGAACCCCAGCCAAAAAGCAAGTCAAATCTTGCTAAATAAAAAACAAGTCGAATCTTGTTAAATCTTGTCAAATCAAGATCGAGTCGGTTTCGCAGGAAAACCCTCTCAATATCAGCGCCAAGACGCTGAACCCTTTGACGAATAATGTCAAAGATTTCCGAAAGCCAGAAGATTCCGCAGAAGGTCAGCTGGCCTACGAAGAAGCAGCCATTAGCGCTCCGGCTTGCGATCCAACCGCAAGTGGCCGTATTCATCAACGAATCCAGTGGCTTCCGGAACCCATTGGGTTAGTGCTTTTGATGAATAGCGATTCTACTCCTGGGTAGAATCGATATTCATCAAAAGCACTAACCCAGTGGGTTCCGGAACACACTGTCGTTGATGAATACGGCCACAGAGGTGCGATGGGGGGCCGGACCCATCAAAAGTGAAAGTGGTCCCAGCTACCACTGGTCGGCCAAAAGTGAAGGTGATAGTGCCGGACACTCACCTCCCAAAAACGTCGACCGGGAGGGGGGCATTAACGTCTATCCTTCCAGATCGTTGCCGCCAATAGTGTATTTGGAAGTAAAACTCAGCGGAACTGTACGGATTTTATTAAGCAAATTTTGCTATAACGTACAGCGAAGAAAGTAGATCGATCCAGGCAGTAACGGCCGAGAACCAGAATTTTAAATAATTAAATAGTGAAAAATCATGCAAAATTTCCACTGTTATAAAACTGTTGTTTGAAGATGTTAGCAGTTGCGACTTCATAGGTTTTGAAGAGTAAATGGTGCTCTATCAGCTAGCGAAAGAATCGAGTGGATTTGAGAGATGGTCGTTGAAATCAGAATTCTAAAATTTACGCCATTTTTGCGTGTTTTTTGACAGTTGACAGTTAAACTCATATAAATCTTGAATGTGAAAGTGTGTGATGTTGCGACTTCATAGGTTTTATAGAGTAAGGTTTGCCTTGTTAGGATATACTTAGCCGTTCCGATCCATTGAAACTCCTCCGAGATCCAGAGTCTTGAAAAAACAGGTAAAAAAGCGCTTTTTGAACAACAGCTCATAACTTCTTCAGAACTGCATGAATCATGTTGCGACTTCATAGGTTAGATTTTACTCATCAAGAGCTTTCAGATGATATATAATATGTGGGGGTCTAGGGCCTCCTACGAATTATGCCCGGGGGTGGGAGCCTTTTCATCACAAAGTCTCCCCCTAGCCCATTTTAATGTATTGGAGGGGGGGGGGGACTTTGTGATGAAAAGGCTCCCACCCCCCGGGCACAATTCGTAGGAGGCCCTAGACCCCCACATATTATATATCATCTGAAAGCTCTTGATGAGTAAAATCTAACCTATGAAGTCGCAACATGATTCATGCAGTTCTGAAGAAGTTATGAGCTGTTGAAATTCAAAAAGCACTTTTTTACCTGCTTTTTCAAGACTCTGGATCTCGGAGGCGTTTTGATGGATCGGAACGGGTAAGCATATCCTAATAAGGCAAACCTTACTCTATAAAACCTATGAAGTCGCAACATCACAGACTTTCACATTCAAGATTTATATGAGTTTAACTGTCAACTGTCAAAAAACACGCAAAAATGGCGTAAATTTTTAGAATTCTGGTTTTCAACGACCATCTCTCAAATCCACTCGATTCTTTCACTAGCTGATAGAGCACCATTTACTCTTCAAAACCTTTGAAGTCGCAACTGCTGACATCTTCAAACAACAGATTTATAACAGTGGAAAGTTTGCATGATTTTTCACTATTTGTTAGGTTGAACCGAAAGTTCGTTCGCACCATTTTCAAAAAATCATAACTTCTTTCCTTCACGACGATTTTGCGAGATTTAAGTTTTATTGGAAAGCGTAAAGCATGTAGTTTCCAAGCATAAAGCATGTAGTCTCCCCTGGCGACTTTCCAGCATGTTCAGATTGCAGAAATAAAATGAAAGAACGAAAACATCCGAAATTCGGAATTTTTGAGCAACAATTCCAAAAATCTAGAAACTGCGCGATAAAATCCAGAAAAGCCATTATCCTAATTTTTCTTATATTTGATTACTAACTGAGTCAAGTTTGTGCTGATCGAGCTCTTCTTTCAAAAGTTATGATTTTTTGAAAAAAAATGCCGAAAACTCAATCTCTTGGGAATTCTTAGGAAAGTGATTTTTCGGAATTATTTTCAAAAAATCATAACTTTTGAAAGAAGAGCTCGATCAGCACAAACTTGATTCAGTTAGTAATCAAATATAAGAAAAATTAGGATGATGGCTTTTCTGGATTTTATCGCGCAGTTTCTAAATTTTTGGAATTGTTTCTCAAAAAATCCAAATTTCGGATGTTTTCGTTCTTTCATTTTTATCTCTGCAATCTGAACATGCTGGAAAGTCGCCAGAGGACTATTGGAAACTACATGCTTTACGCTTTCCAATAAAACTTAAATTTCGCAAAATCGTCGTGACGGAAAGAAGTTATGATTTTTTGAAAATGGTGCGAACGAACTTTCGGTTCAATCTAATAATTATTCAAAATTCTGGTTCTCGGCCGTTAGTGCCTGGATCGATCTACTTTCTTCGCTGTACGTTATAACAAAATTTGCTTAATAAAATCCGTACAGTTTCGCTAAGTTTTACTTACGAATACACCATTTACTGAACACGTATTTCAAATATATATGCCGCCGTATACATAAAAATATGAGTTCAATAATCTTTTGCGTTTGTCTTGCTTATTTTCCCTCTTTATCGTCCAGCGAAAAAATTTTTCATTCCAAAAGTGAAGGTGGTCACCCTGTACCAGCACAAGAGTGAAGGTAGGGGAAGAATCGGCTCCCACTATCGCACCTCTGACCGCAACTCAACAGCTTTATGATAGAGATGTAGCCAGCAATATTAATCCAAAATCGCCCCTTGCAAGTATAATAGTGCAAGATAAAAATGAAAAAAAAAACACATTGTCTATTACGAAAGTATACATTAATAACTTGATCATGCGGCAGATCATTAGTTCTGTAACAAACGTTAATGACCGTATGAA